CAGTTACCAATCACCCCTCCCTGGAGAAGAGCGTGCCAGCCAGGGTGCCTCAGGTGCCCCAGGGTGCAGCACCTGGAGCAGGGGTCCCAGCAGATTGAAGCTGCTGGGAGATGCCAACTGCAAACCAGCAGGAGAGCTCACAAAATGACCAGAAGTTGATTGGACCACCCACATCTGTAAAGCTCCTCCTCTGATTCCCCTACCCTCACCACAGGCCAGGGGAGAGGAGGAGGGGGAGGATTGTGAAGAGGGACAGCCAGTATCAACATCTGGCTTGAAGGAACCCTTGGCTCTGGGGGGACTCCACTACTGTCCCTTCTCCAGATAAGGGGACAGGCTCATGAGTTAGGATGAGCTCCTAACTCAAGGCATCGTTCTCCCTGGTCTGTACATCTCAGAGAGGTACCCACAGCTTTGGTTGCAGACTATCTTGCCAAGGGTGTTTAAAATATCAAACAGCATCATAGGGACAAGGAGACCATCTCTCTCCAGGGCAGAGACAGGTTTGTCTGCATCAGTATAGTAAAGATAATGTCTCTCTCCAGGGCAAAAGGAGGCAGGTCTGCCTGTAGCTTATTCAAAAAGATAGCCCTAGATGTCCATCAACAGATGAATGGGTACAGAAATTGTGGTATATAAACGCAATGAAATGTTACTCAGCTTTAAAAAAGAACATATTTGAATCAGTCCTAATGAGATGGATGAACCCTAGAGTCCATTGTACAGAGTGAAGTCAGCAAGAGAAAGACAAACCTTGTATGTTATCGCATGTGTATGGAATCTAGAAAGATGGTACTGACGGACTTATTTGCAGGGCAGCAATGGAGACCCTGACATAGAGAATAGACTTGTGGACACAGTGTGGGAGGGAGAGGGTGGGATGAATTGAGAGAGTAGCATGGAAACATATACATTACCGTATGTAAAATAGATAGCCAGTGAGAATTTGCTGTGTGATATAGGGACATCAACCCAGTGCTCTGTGACCACCTAGAGGGTTGGGATGGGGAGGGAGGTAGGAGGGAGATTCAGGAGAGAGGGGACGTATGTATACCTGTGGCTGATTCATGCTGATGTATGGCAGAAACCAACAGAAAATTGTAAAGCAAGTATCTTGCAATTTTAAAAAAAAAATTTTTTTAAACCTGAAGTCAGGATCCTGCACACACAGCCCCTAGGTCATGCGGTGTCACGCTGGGGACTGGGGGACAAAGAGGAGACAAGGAGACCAGGGAAGCTGGTGCCGCCTGCTGTGCAAAGAGTAACAATAGCTTTGTCTCCGTGCCAGGGAGACCCTCTCTCACGTCTTCTGCCAGCGTCCATGAAAGGGTGGTTGGGGAAAACATTAGACCATCCACAGTCATTAGCGGGAGACACACGTCCAAGGTCACACAGTCGAGAAATAAGATGCAGGGCACTCTCCTGTACTGTCAGTGGCAGTGTAAGTTGGTGCAGTAACTATGAAGAACAGTATGGAGGATCCTCGGAAAACTAAAAACACAGTTGCCATATGATAGAGCAATCCCACTCCTGGGAATATATCTGGACAAAACTGTAATTCAAAAAGATACATGCACCTCTGTGTTCACAGCAGCACTATTCACAACAGCCAAGGCTAGGAAATTAAAGGTCCACTGACAGAGGAATGGATAAAGATGTGGCACATATACACCTTGGAATATTACTCACCCATAAAAAAGAATGAAATATACATGTTTCGATGCTGTTCTCTCGAAACATCCCACCCTCGAATGGGGAATACATGTAAATCCATGGCTGATTCATGTCAATGTATGGCAAAAACCACTACAATATTGTAAAGTAATTAGCCTCCAACTAATAAAAATAAATGAAAAAAAAAAAGAATGAAATAATGCCATTTGAAGCAACATGGACACAGAGACTGTCATACTAAGAGAAGTGAAAAAGAAAGACAAATATCATATGCTATGACTTATATGTGGAATCTAAAATGTGACACAAATGAACCTATACACGAAACAGAAACAGACTCACAGACATCGAGGACAGACTTCTGGCTGTCAAGAGGGAGCTGCAGTGGTGGGGGGTGGAATGGGAGTTTGGGGTTAGCAGGTACAAACTATTACCTAGAAAACAGATAAGCAACAATGTCCTCTGTGTAGCACAAGGAGCTATATTCAATATCCTGAGAAAAACTGTAACAGAAAAGAATATTTTTTAAATGTACATATATATGTTTAACTGAGTCCCTTTGCTGTACAGTTGAAATTAAACTACTGCACAAGTGCACTCATTTCACACTCTAGCAAAGCAATGCTCAAAATTCTCCAAGCTAGGCTTCGACAGTACATGAACCGAGAACTTCCAGATGTTCAAGCTGGATTTAGAAAAAGCAGAGGAACCAGAGATCAAATTGTCAACATTTGTTGGATCATATAAAAAGCAAGAGAATTCCAGAAAAACATCTACTTATGCTTCATTGACTACAGTAAAGTCTTTGACTGTGTGGATCATAACAAACTGTGGAAAATTCTTAAAGAGCTGGGAATACCAGACCACCTAATCTGCCTCCTGAGAAACCTGTATGCAGGTCAAGAAGCAACAGTTAGAACCAGACATGGAACAATAGACTGGTTCCAAATTGGGAAAAGAGTATGTCAAGGTTGTCTATTGTCACCCTGCTTATTTAACCTCTATGCAGAGTACATCATGTGAAATGCCAGACTGGATGAATAAAAAGCTGGAATCAAGATTGCTGGGAGAAATATCAATAACCTCAGATATGCAGATAACACCACCATTATGGTAGAAAGCAAAGAGGAACTGAAGAACCTCGAGATGAAGGTGAAAGAGGTGAGTGAAAAAGCTGGCTCAACAACCTAGATGTGGGAGGCCTCTTTGAGCTCACAAGGGAGACATTATGAGCAAAGCACACCCTCCCGAGTTGAAGAAATTTATGGACAAGAAGTTATCATTGAAATTAAATGGTGGCAGCCATGTCCAAGGAATATTGCGGGGATTTGATCCCTTTATGAATCTTGTGATAGATGAATGTGTGGAGATGGCAACTAGTGGGCAACAGAACAACATTAGAATGGTGGTAATATGAGGAAATAGTATCATCATGTTAGAAGCCTTGGAACGAGTATGAACAACAGCTGTGTTCACCAGAGAAATCAACTGCTTCCATGTGTCCCCTTCTCCACATTTTACTACCAGAAAAATTGGGTTGTGTACATTTTCTTACTGAACTTTTTTGTTAAATAAACTTTCGTAATAGCCAAAAAAAAAAAAAAAACCTAGGTGTTCATCGGCAAATGAATGGATAAGAAAGTTGTGCTACATATACACAAAGGAATATTACTCAGCTATTAAAAAGAACATGTTTGAATCAGCTCTAATGAAGTGGATGAAACTGGAGCCTATTAAACATAGTGAAGTAAGTCAGAAAGAAAAACACCAATACAGTATATTAGCGCATATATATGGAATTTAGAAAAATGGTAATGACAACCCTATATATGAGATAGCAAAAGAGACACAGATATAAAGAACAGACTTTTGGACTTTGTGGGACAAGGCGAGGGTGGGATGATTTGAGAGAATAGCATTGAAACATGTATATTACCATATGTTAAATAGATCACCAGTCCAAGTTCAATGCATGGAACAGGGCACTCAAAGTCGGTGCACTGGGACAACCCTGAGGGATGGGATGGGGAGGGAGGTGGGAGGGGGTTCGGGATGGGGGACACATGTACAGCCATGGCTGATTCAGGGCAATGTATGGCAAAAACCTCCACAATATTGTAAAGTAATTAGCCTCCAATTAAAATAAATAAATATTTTTTTTAAGTTGGCTTAACTCAACATTCAAAAAGCAAAGATCATGGCATCTCGTCCTATCACTTCATGGCAAATGGATGGGAGAACAATATAAATAGTGACAGACTTTATTTTGGGGGGTCCAAAATCACTACAGATGGTGACTGCAGCCATAAAATTAAAAGACGCTTGCTCCTTGGAAGAAAAGCTATGACAAATCTAGATGAAATATTAAAAAGCAGAGACATCATTTTGCCAACAAAGGTCCATCTAGTCAAAGCTGTGGTTTTTCCAGTAGTTATGTATGGCCGTTAGACTTGGACTATAAAGAAGGCTGAGCACTGAAGAATTAATGCTTTTGAACTGTGGTGTTGAAGAAGACTCTTGAGAGTGAGTCCCTTGGACTGCAAGATTAAGCCAGTCAATCCTAAAGGAAACTAACCCTGAATGTTCATTGGAAGGACTGATGCTGAAGCTGAAGCTCCAATATTTTGGCCACCTGATGTGAAGAACCGGCTCACTGGAAAGGACCCTGAGCCTGGGAAAGATGGAGGGCAGGAGGAGAAGGGGACAGAGGATGAGATGGTTGGATGGCATCACCAACTTGATGGACATGGATTTGAGCAAGCTCCAGGAGATGGTGAAGGACAGGGAAGCTGCAGTCCATGGGGTCGCGAAGAGTCAGACACAACTGAGCGACAAAGCAGAGCACAGCGCAACGCAGAGCTTCTCCATCTTATACTGCAAAGAATACAATTAATCTGATTTCGGTATTGACCATTTGGTGATGCCCATTTATAGAGTCGTCTCTTCTCCGCAGCTCAGCAGAATCCCCCACTCTGAAAGCCCCCCTCCCTCCCACAGTCTGTTGGGCTCTTGGGTGCACAAGCCATGGACATCTGGACTCACGGGGGTCCTGTCCAGCTCCGCAGCAGGAAATGGAGTGCTGACCTCTACTGTGACAGCCAGAACCTGGAGGCTCTTAGGGGCTTACCACCCAGCTCCAGGTCCCTCCTGGTAGCAAATACAGTGGGGACTCTGTTCTGTTTTCTGCTGAATCCCCAGTATCTATAAGAATACCTGGCACCCAAGAGATGCTCAAAAACTGGAAAATTGGGAAAGGGGAGGGAGAGATGAAGGCAGGAAAGGGGGGGGGCGCCAAGAGTCAAGGGCAGGAACACTTGAAGACCAAGATGGGCTTTTTGGCCAAATCTCAGAACCCAGGAAAGCTCAGTGTGGGGAATGTGCCATGTGCAGCCTGCTCAGCCTCTGCTGTGCCCACCTGCCAGGCCCTCTCACAGGTGCCCACACCCTCAGTGCCCGGCCTCAGGCTCCCCATGGCAGCACCCAGGAACACCATGGTGAGTGAGCCCATGAGTGAAGGAGGGACCAGCCAGTGCAGCCTCATTGAGAGCATAAGGGTATGGGGCCCGGATGACGCACTCCTGGGCTGGAGGCAGCCGCAGATCCCAGAATTGTCTGTGTCTCTGCTCAGAGGGGACACAGGTATAAAGTGTCCCGCACACCTAAGCTCTTAATGAACACCTGATAAGGAAGTCGGCGCAGAGAACAGAGATGCCTTGCCCAGGAGCCAGCTTCTAGAAAGTGGGGGAGGTGGGACACGGCTACCAGCCCTCCTGTTCCCCTCAGGATGCATCCCATCCCAGGGGGGGGGCTCTCCCCCTGATGCTACCCCCCACCCTGAGTAGAACAGGCTCTGGGCTGGTGTCCTGCGAGCAGCAGAAAAAATGGATCCTCCAGCAGCCATCTCTTGATGGGCTATTAAGCTGCAGAGGCCACGTCCTGCCGAGGCGTCTTGGGCCCTAATGTCACCTTATTAAGCTTTTCTGCTGGCATGAACGGTTATTCACATCGGTCTCCACTCACAAGGCCCACACCCCATGCGGCGCAAGTGCTGAATAATTAAAGGGAAAACAGTTCCCCAGCAGAACCGTGTGACCTTCTCCAAGAAGACACAACCCCCATGGCGCAAACTTCTGACCGTGGGTATAAATGACCCCGCAGCTGGGCTGCTCCTCCTCATCCAGCCCCCAGTTCAGAGTATCCAGGGGCAGTAAGCAGGGGACATGGACCATGCCCCCCTCTGCGTCCCCCAGATGACGCTTGATTCACTGAAAACAGTTTGCCTGGGGATTGTGTTTTCATTGCGATGCTTTCTGATGAGTTTGGTTTGGGATTTCAGAGCGATAAAAAAAATTTTTTTTTTTAAGCAAACTGTCAGGCTTCCTGCTTGCCTCACCCTTGCAGGGCAGTGGGGACCTGGCCAGCTCTCTGTCCCCTGAACTGACCTCTGGCCCTGGGAAGAAAGTTCCCTTGGCTTTTGTCTGATCTGGCAGGCCAGCTGGCTATCTATGACACAAACCCAAGGGCTCATGTGGCTGTGTGTGTGTGTGTGAGTGTGTGTGTACGTGAGAGCTCTGATCTGGGGCCAGGAGATACAGGCAGGGGACTCCCCTCCTAACACGCACACATGCCATTGTTATGCAGCCTCTGGAGTCCACAGGTAAATCAGGTGAGGCCTTGGGAATCCCACAGCCCTGGACTCGTTGACCTCCCAGGAGTAGGCCACGAGCACTGTTCCTTTGGGTTTGGTCCTGATGGATCCCGGTACTCCTCTCATGTCTGTAGTGTGTCCACGACCTGTGCCCTCCCAAGATTTCTCCAAGTCCCTGAGGTTTCCATCTTCAGACTTCCATCCGCTTGAATCCTGGCCTTCTCCAAGCTCTCTAGCTCACTGTCTCTCCCACCTCTTTCCTCTTTGTCTCCAGGATGGAGCTTCCCTGACTCTGTGCCCCCAGGCACCAGACATCTCAACTTATCAGTCCTTTCTTCCTAAGGCTTTTCCAGGGGAAAAGTGGAGGGAACAAGTGGAACCAGCCCGAGTGGAGGAGCAGACATGCCTTGGCCACCCAGCTACTTCTCAAAGGCAGAGGTCCCTGGAGGATTCTCCTGGGTTGTGAAATAATCAAAAGCACCCGCGAGTCCTGATCTTCACGGCAGGCCCAGTCGCCTCTGCACCATCAACCTCATGGCTGATGTCCTCTGCATGATCCGGTTTTTCCCACAGGCCAGAGCAATTTACCTGAATCATTTATCATGGCATAAAGTGAGGAGAAACATGGAATCCTGGGTGGCCTTTCCCAACCACTGCCTCTTAACAGTTTTCCCGGGAACCACCAGCTCTAAGCTGGACTAGGAGTTCTGAGAGGATCCTGTTCCTAGAGCCCACCACCCGCCACTCCCCATAGGTCTTCAGTAGACTTCATCCTAAAGTAAATTTAATGTTGGAAATTAATTCAAATGAACCGTCGAAGCCATTATGTAAGCAGCTTACTTCTAAAGACCTGGGCCAGAGAGGGGACCTCAGGAGGCATTTACAGAAGCTCAGAGATAATGATCTGCTGCAATGAGCAGCCCCACATCTGCACCAGGCCTTCCAGTGCAGCTGTGGAAGGCAGAATGGGGCACTCAGCACAGGGTAAGCCAGAGCGGGGCCACATGGGACCCCAGGGGCTCCCATCATTCACCTGTAGACCCTGCAGACGTGGGGGAGCCAAAAACAGAAGCAAAACAGGGCATGTTTATAAACCAGACTTAGCACATACCTGCCAGCCCCTCTACAGGGGCTCCAGGCTTGAGAACCAAGCTTCTCTGCTCTCTCTCTCTGCTCCCTCCCTGCCCTCACAGGTCCAGCTCCTCTGCTGTCCATAAACCTGCTCTGCCCCCAGCAGGGAATTTCCTGCAGGACATTGTTATTTCACAAGGGAATTTCCTTCCTGTCCTTTGCATGCCTATAATTCAAGCTTACCCCTGATTTCTTCTGTGCCGCACTGAACAGAACATCTCAGAAATGTTTCCAGCACTCAGTAGGCACAAAGAAAAAAAGAGAAGCAAATGACAATCACATGTATGTTCAACCTCCCTACTAAGCCCAGAAATGGAAATTAAAATGTGATTCCTTTTCACCTTTCAAATTGATCGAAAAGTTTTAATAAATTAGAAAGAGACTATTCCAGGCAGATAGAGTGAAACAGACACTCAGAGACGTTGAGGATGGGAAAGTAAATTGGCATAACCATCTGGAAAACAATCCGTCACTTTGTATCTATCAGCCAGGCCAGGCCAGAGTGTGCTACTGAAAAAACAACCAAAAGTTGCAATGGCTGGTAAGAAAGTTTTGATCCATTCTTAAATCACATGTCTGAAGGAGTACAGTTGCTATACAGGGGGAGAGGGTAGTTTGCGGGTCATAGTGGTCCTCACTCAAGGGCCCGTGTACACAAAACAGGAAATACCTAGAATGTGGCAACCTCTGTGCAGAGGAAAAGGAATGTGGCAGAGCAAGAATTACCTCCAAACATCTGCCCAGTGCTGACATAAGTCACTCACTTATGCTCATATTTCATTGGCCAAAGCAAATCATGTGCTTTGATTTCTAACACAGATATAGGATGACTGGCTGGAGAGATGGAAGGATGGATAAGTAGGTAGATAGATGGATGGATGAATAGATACTTAGATAGATAGATGTATATAGGTGGATGAGTGGATAGACAGATGCACAGCTAGATAGATATAGATACATAGACAGGTAGATGGATGGGTAGATGGATAGCATGAGTGGGTGGATAGATGGATAGATAGATACATACTTGGGTGGATGGATGTGTGGATAGAGAGAGAGAGATAATTGTCTACATAGATGTATATTCTATAAGAGCATGGATTTTTGTCTGTTTTTTCATGGCAATAGTTTTTATGTTTGAACATCATTTGAGGTATAGTACACTTTTTGAGGCTTCCCAGGAGGCACAGTGGTAAAGGATCTGCCTGCAAATGCAAGAGACACAAGAGATGCAGATTTGATCCCTGAGTTGGAAAGATCCCCTGGGGAAGGAAATGGCAACCCACTCCAGTATTTTTGTGAAAAATTCCATGTACAGAGGAGCCCGGTGGGCTACAGTCCAGGGGATCACAAAGAGTCGGACACAACTGAGTGACTGAGCACACACACACACACTTTTTTAAAGGAAAAGATAGATAGATAGATGAAAGAGAGGTGAATGAGAAAGCAATAACAAAATCAAAGGTGAAGGCAGAACTAAGAGAAAACCTATCAAGGGGAGAATGGTCCAGAGCAAAGGTATGTAATCTCTTAAGGGCTGGATGATGTAAGGAAGAGAAGACTATGGCCAGGCCAAGACCACTGGCCCAGGCACCATACGTGACCAGAGTTGGACACAATCCAGCAAGATCCATCCATGAGAGTTGCTTCTTCAACGCGGCCAGAAGAAATGTCTCCTCTCTGGGGAATTAGACTCCCCTACACTCTGGGGGAGGCTCCCCTGGGACCAGGTGGGGCTAATACCTGGAGGAGGTCAGAGCTCAAATCCAGTTGTACAGGCAGCTGGCCAAGCCTGGATTCCAATTACCTGGGCCATATGGTGTGTATGCATGTGTGTATGTGTGTGTGTATGTGTGTGAGTCTGTATGTATCTGCCCGTCTGCACATGAGCATATATGAGTTTGTATGTTTTCGTGTGTGCCTGTGTGTGCACACACACATTCTTTCTTTCCTTTATGCCTCTGTTTATTTATTTAATTTTGCACAAGCTGCTTTGATGCTTTCAAGTGAAAAAAGTCCCAGCCAACCCACACATGAGACAGCAGCCTACCTTCCCGGAGCATCCTGTGCTCAAGACAAGGACTGGTGTTGAATGTGTCTGGAATTCTAAGAATCCAGAGGTCACAGTGAGCCTCTGCTGCTTCTGCCTCGGCCCCTCCCTGGACCTCAATCAATCCCCGGCCAGAACTGAGTGTCTGAGCTCAGAAGTCTGACGTTCAGCTCCAATAGCCAAATCGAGACACACATACACACACAGGCGCGCACACACACAGTCATCCTCACACAGACAAGATACAGACACACACATCTATGAGGGGCTTCCCTGCGGCTCAGATGGTAAAGAAACCGCCTGCAGTGCGGGAGACCTGGGTTCAATCCCTGGGTGGGGAAGATCCCCTGGAGGAGGGCATGGCAACCCACTCCAGTGTTCTTGCCTGGAGAATCCCATGGACAGAGGAGCCTGGCGGGCTCCAGTCCATGAGGTTGCAAAGAGTCAAACACAAATGAGCAACTAAGCAAGCAGCACACAGAGACCCGGCCAAGGCTGGAACACCTGGGCGTCACCCCACCTACCTGACTCATCAGAGGCCTTGAGATTGCCTGAAAGGCCAAGTTTGCATGAGGAAATCCACATTTTCCTCCCAACACGGGCCTAGCACTCGGGCAAAGCCTCTCCCAAGCTGACATCAGCTCCACACAGAAGATGTGGCCTTAGCATCACACCCCACACCGCATCTTCCTCCCTCTCTCCAGCCACCTGCCAGCTCTGGCCCT